AAATAAATAAATAAATAAATAAATAAATAAATAAATAAATAAATAAAACCCAACAAAAATATGAAGAATGAAAATGCAGGGACCCAACAGCAGAGTTTTCAAAATGAGCCATTTTTGGCTTGTGCACACAGACCACACAGATTCTATTTTTATGGTGAGCCACTCAGAGTAGACATGGGTATAAATTTAATTAATTAATTAATTAATTAATTAATTAAAATTAGACCGACATACCCTCAACCAGCGTGCCTGTGATTCTGGGAGTTGTAGCAAAATAAATAAATAAATGAGATTTCCTCTGTGTGGCCATATTCGTCTTAGAGGAAAAACAGCAAAGCATCTTCTGCCTCCTTAGAGGCTAACAAGTTTTATCTGGCATAAGCTGTTGCAAAAAGGATGATGTCATTTACACCGGAAGAAGCATGGCCGTGGGCTGTGATGGCGGCCAGTGAAAGGCACCCTGTTTTTTTCCCCCAGTCAAACTGTTCAGAGCCCTCCCCAGGGCTCACACAACACACTCAGCCATAGGCATTTCGATTGGCACACCCAGTGTAGGCCAGGAGGGGACTGCCAGGATACACTGGCAAGCCATATCGGAGTCGTTTGGCTTTGCTACAGGTTTTATGCTTCTGTTTAGATTAGGTGACCACATACATACTATGGATTGTTCTGGTACAGTGTCCGCACTTGGCCCTTCAATCAGAGATGGTTTGATCTGCACCGCAAACCACAGCCCCCCTTTGCTTTGATCCCACCCTCTGCTGATCCCTTTTTACCGTTCATTGTAAAAAACATTGTAAAAAACTCAGATCATGGCCACTGGTCCAATCACCTCCTGGCAAATAGAAGGGGAAGATCTGGAGGCAGTGACAGAGTTTACTTTCTTGGGCTCCATGATCCCTGCAGAGGGTGACAGCCGCCACGAAATTAAAAGACGTCTGCTTCTTGGGAGGAAAGTGATGACAAACCTTGACATTATCTTAAAAACCGAGACATCACCTTGCCAAAAAAAGTCCGTATAGTCAAAGCTATGGTTTTTCTAGTAGCCATGTATGGAAGTGAGAGCTGAACCCTAAAGAAGGCTGACCACCAAAGAATTGAAGCTTTTGAATTGTGGTGCTGGAGGAGGCTCTTGAGAGTCCCCTGGACTGCAAGGAGAACAAACCTCTCCATTCTGAAGGAAATCAACCCTGAGTGCTCACTGGAAGGACAGATCCTGAAGCTGAGGCTCCAGTACTTTGGCCATCTCACGAGAAGAGAAGACTCCCTGGAAAAGACCCTGATGTTGGGAAAGTGTGATGGCAAGAGGAGAAGGGGACGACCGAGGGTGAGATGGCTGGACAGTGTCTGCGAAGCAACCAACATGAATTTCACACAAGTCCGGGAGGCAGTGGAAGACAAGAGGGCCTGGCATGCTCTGGTCCATGGGGTCATGAAGAGTCGGACACGACTTAATGACTAAACAACAAAAGCATTAAACTCAGGGGTTTGTTTAAAACAATAAATAAATGTGTCAGGATGACTGATGAGAAAGGTAGTGGGTGGGCGTGTTTTTCTGCATTTCAAAACATCACAACCAGTTTAGTATGTTACCAGAATAATGCCCATCTTTCAGTCACATTCCCACCACCCCACCGTTCTTTTGAGAGAAAGAAACAACAGATCAAAAGGGGGAAACATCATTTGAATTGTTACAGCCTGAAAGTGGCTGAGGGGGGAAATCAACAACATCTGCATTGGGGGCCAAAACGAGCCAGAATGATTCAGACTGGGCTTTGCATTACTTACTTACTTATCAGCCCATTAGAGCAATACACTCTTCTGGGCAGTTAACAAACCAAAAGCAAAGAATAAGTAAACACAAGTTTCGAACCATCACAAGACAACCAACAAACCAATCAAACAAAAAATAGAAAGTGCAATGTTTCATAATGGCAGGCATGTGATCAGTTACTTTCAAAAAAACACAAATTCATCCATTTTACAGCAGCAGCCAAGTTGCATTTTTGGACCACACTTCCCAAAGTCCTCCATTCTGCATGGCTGCTTTGCTCAGTGGCTTGGCGGGGCGAGGTGCAGGGCTGGACATAGCGGTCCAGAAATGATTCCCCACTCCACCCTACCCGCAGCATGAGCCAGGATGCAGTTGGTCAAAGACATGTATCACGAGTTCTGCTGAAGAAGGCCTGGAATCTAAGAGGTTAATTACAGCTGAGGAAAATGCTGGGCAAGTAGAATCACAGACAGCTGAATCACCGCCAGATTCTCCTCCCCCACTAGCCAGAGTGAGAGATAAGCTTCGGCACAGACTCACAACATGAAGGTCTGAGGCTTGCATGAATGCTTCTCACAAGGAACATCAGGTCGACCAGCCCAGAGTTTTAACAGGATGGAATGTTTCTAGGAATTAGATGATTGTTGCTGCTACATAATTTGTGCTCAGAGGCTTGGAAGCTTGTGGAAGCAACAAGTCAATTCTCTGGCTCGTGCCCATGCTCCTGCTTTGTCTTGAACCTTGCTCTCTTGACCCTTGGCTTTTAGATTTCGGACTACGGTTTGTGTTTTGGCTTTGACAATTTGGCATCTGTTTTGTATCTCCAGGACTTCTGACCTTGGACTGGCTTATTGGATTTTTGCCTGCTGAATCCCCTGGGAATGTGACAACGTGGCAGAGATGAAGGCCATGGGGTTGACAGATGGCTGGTCCTGGTCAAAGTGGGGAAAGCCTGCTTAGCTGGCACCGTTGGGGTCAGGAGAGGAAAATGAGCCAGGGGTCAACAGCAGGGCCCGGTGAGGGTAAATATCCAGAAACAACATCACCCACGGCAAATACTCACTCTGTCATCAGCCAGAAGCTGTGGGCTGTTTCTCCCATGCTCACAACCACATGGGCCTTCAGGTCATCCATGGCTTGATCGAATGCTCCAGCCTTAAATAAACAAAATAAACAAGTAAGAGGAATACTGTGCTTCCCTCAAAATAAGACTGGTTCTTATATTAATTTTTGCTCCAAAAATGCATTAAGGCTTATTTTCAGGGGATGTTTGATTTTTTTTTTCATGTACAGCCATCTATGTTGATTCAAAGACAGTCCTGTCCTCATCTTCTGGTTGCTGCACAAGGGTGGAGGACGGGGTTTCATTGAACTGGAAATCCTACTAGGGGTAGGGCTCATATATTACGAGCATCCTGAAAAATCCTACTAGGGCTTATTTTCAGGTTAGGTCTTATTTTCAGGGAAACAGGGTATATACAGGCAAAAAGCATTTCTCAGCTTGCAATGAAGATTTATTTATTTATTTATTTGTTCCATTTTTACCCCACCCATCTAGATTCGGGAATCCCCTCTGGGCGGCTTACAAAATATAAAGACAAAAACAGTATTCAAATAACTTGGATCCTAAAATGTATGTCTTTACATGGAGAAGAACATCTCGAGGGACAGAGTGGACTCCTTGGACTTCCTAATTAACGCTTTACCTGATGCTCTTTCTTCAGCTGAAGTTGGTTAACTCTGAAGAAGAGCAGATGCTTCTTCCCATACTAATCTCCAGAGCAGAGGCCACGGGCCATGGCCCTGTGCATCTCCACCTTGGCTAGACCTAGGATGTCACTTATAACTTTCCCCATGCGTTCCTCTAAAATGCCACCTTTCTGATTTCTTAGGGTAAAAGTTTGGACATGACTTATTTTCAGAGGTGCCACGTACTCTTCCAATAACCAGGGAGGGGAGAAGGGGATGCCCCCAGTGAACTCCAGTGAGGCTCGCTCCTCTAACTCTTTCCCACCTGATGGCTTCCAGTAGTCCCAAGCGATCAAAGGGACAAGTCTCTCCAAAGGGCAGACTCAGCAAATCCACCCCAGACACGAGAGGGGGGGCCCTTCTCTCTGTGCCCTTCTCTACTTCTGCACCCCATGAACCCACCCTGGGCAGCCACGGCAGGGAATGCCACTCACCCTTGTGACAAAATATCTCCTTGAATCATAAGGGTCCACGTGAGGCTGCGGGTAGAGAATGCGCTTTGAGGCAGAGGGTGGAAGGGCCACAGGCTCAGGCTCTGCAGCGCCTTCCGAGTCCAGTTTCCCTCTGTCCTTCTCGTACATCTCCTTTTCTGTTTCAACCGTCCGAAAATCCTGGTCATTTCCACCACCAGACATTCTGGAAGCCTTGAAGAGAAAGAGGAACTGGCTGGATATGTTGGCACAGGCCAGTTGTGCCGTCTTGCCTCTTGGCCTCCCATCACATCCTCATTTGGGGGCTGCCCCACATAACCCGTTTTGGTTCCCTTCTCCTCTGTGCCTCACCTCCCTCCCTCTCTGTTGCTTTCTTCTGGCATCTCTTCGAACCCTCGCCTGGCCCATCCTTGCACGCATGTCCACGCTTTCAATTTAGCCTTCCCTGTGGGGTTGTTTCAATGACGTCCTTTGTTGATTTCAATTGTTTCCAATGCCTTTTGCTTAATTGTAATGGTTCTGCAGTGGGCCAGGTATATGCATCACATTGTTCTTTTTAGCTAACTGTGGTTTTCATCTTAAAAAAAATAAAGCTTGTAAGCCATCACTCACAACCCTACAATCAGCCAACCTGACTGGGAATTCTGGGAGTTGTAGCTCCCCCTCCTGCAAAAAGGGATGCTTCTGCTTTGATTTCATTTCATTATCATTATCGTTTCATTTATTCTTCTCAGGGCTTCTCTTGAGTTGTGCTGTCAGTTCCACCTTTGAGCTTCCGCACCAGCGCTTGCCTGCTGAAGCTGCACCTTTTCGACAGGAAGGGTCCATCATCCTCTCTCCTCACGGATGCAAGGACCAGTGTCCCTGCTCAGGAGCACCCCAAAATCTTCCCCATTCCCTGTAATGGAGACTTGGAGCGGAAACTGATGGTGGGGGGAAAAGCAAACCTCCTGTCTCCTCGAAACGCTGCTTTTGAATTACTTTGTGAATTGAAAAAAGATGCCCACCCAATGCTCCCCAAACACACGTTCCTGAAGGCCTCTTAAAAATGCAGCTCCGTAATGGGAACAGTGCAGCCTAGCCGACTGGGTGCCTTGAATTCGGATCTCGCTCTAGGTTGTTTGCCAGTCCTCAGTGTGTTGCGGGCTTCACAAAACCACACAGTTCTCACCCACCCACCCGTTGCCTGCATTCTTATGCAGTTCAATTTCAGCAAATAAGGATCATACACTTCTGGGAGAAATGTGCATCGCCTCCTGGCAGGGCTCCGCAGGACGGCTGCTGCAATGTCACCCTGACCTCCGCTCGTGGGTTCTCCTGGCACCCGCCGGGACCCTGCAAGCGAAACAATTTCCAATATTGCCTACGGCAGAAGGAGAAGCAGCTTCTTGCTCCCATTAGCTAATGCCCAATGTACGAGACATTGCTAGAATTTGGCAGGACAGGCTTCTTAAGGAGGCAGCTGGCCTGCTTTGGGGGGAAAAAGAAGGGGAGGTGGATTCGAATCGAGAAGGACAAGATGCCCTGAACCTGAAATGTTGACCTTGGACCACCTGGCCTTTTATTCCTTTTATAGGACAAGGACCTAGATTTTCTGGAGTTTATTCTTCACCCCTCCATCAATGCGTCCTGCAGATAGGTGGGGGTGGCCACGGGGGATCAGGGTTGAGCCTGAGTCACAGCCCCACCCCTTTGGAGTCCTGATTGGAGGAGGAGGAAGGGGGTGGGCCAAAGGAGAGGTATAAGAAGGCTGAATCCGGCAGCCCTCACCTTTCCAGCCCAGGTGAACTGGGTTGATGCAGAAGGAATCTGGGAGTTGTAATTTCCCAGGCTGGTGTCTCAGGATGGCTGCTTTTGCTGGCATGCTCTCTACTGTAGGATGTTCACATCGAATCTAGTAATCGTTTATCCAAAGCTAGATGCTATTGCAGATCCGAGAATCCCCTGTTCTGGGGCTCGTTTTTTTTTTCCCGGAAGCCATGGCTCCAGATTCTAATTTCAGTACATGTATGCTCTACTGCCAGTTGGGTGTATAAGTTTCTTCTCTTTTTAAAAATCTCATCTCCACCCAGCATTGTAGGTCTGTCAAGTGGTTAGGGCACCAGCTCAAGAAGTAAGGTACGGCCCTGCTTCTCTGCATCTCCTGGATATAAGACATATCTCAAGGCCATCAACTCTAGGCATGAAAGCTCATTAATTCAACATGAAGGTGTTAGTAGGAAATGACTACTTAGATGAGGCCAGTCTTGGGTGCACTAATATATGTAAGGAGTCTCAAGGCGGAATATGAAAAACGTATGAAAAATATATTGTTTTAGGAGAATAGGAGGAGAAGGGGACGACAGAGGACAAGATGGTTGGACAGGGTCATCGAAGCGACCAACATGAATTTGACCCAACTCTGGGAGGCAGTGGAACATGGGAGGGCCTGGCGCGCTATAGTCTCTGGGGTCACGAAGAGTCGGACACAACTGAACAACTAAAGAACAACAACACCCTGTAGGGTTGCCAGGTCTCAGGCCTGGCCCCCCTGAGTCTCACTTTTGTAGTCTGTGCTTCAGGTTTTGGGCTTTGGACCCAACGGCTCTCCTACCAGTCTGGCAGCTGCCAAATTTTGGGGGTCTTTCTTGTGCCTTCAGAAGATACGGTCTAGATATGCTCAGAGGCACCCTTGTCTGTTTCCATAACTTAAAGACTCCAGAGCTGCTGGTGCTGGTGCTGGTGCTGCTACTGGAACCCAGACGTTGGCCATAAAAGCCTCCCCATTTTCTGCCTGTCACCCACAGCCCATTTTGTCATTGTTGATGAAAGATCTGGCCCTTAGGAACCAGGATTTGGGAGGAAGTGGCAGGGGATGGGATGTTAGAGTTTCATCTATAACCTTGCATGCGTTCTGTAGTTTGAGTGACTGGGAGGAACTTTTGTGGGATGGAGTGATTATACAGCACTAACCAATCATGCCGTACAGCTTTTGAAGTACAAAGGGAGCCCAGCCTCTCCTCTGAGTGAGTTCAGAATATGTCGCTGTCTATTTTTGTTGGTTGATGGCTGGTTGTTTATTGCTGTTGATCTGTTTCTTTGGTTGCTAGTATGTGTGTAGTGAAGAAAGCAACATGCACCAGTTTGTCATTCCAAGCAACTGTAAGTAAATAGACATGTTTGATTCTTTCGCTGAGTTATTGAGACTTTAAGTGCCAGTTAATGAGAAAGGGGTAGAATCTCGGGGGGCGGGGTGGGTTTGTAGCTATTCTCCTCTGAACTTCTACTGTGTAGTAAAAAGAGAATTTACCAGGAATTCAGAACTCTACAACGTGGGATGTTCCTGATTGTGTCTACTGCCAACCTATTTCAAAGATGCCAGCTTGGATGAGGCCACCTTGTCATGACAGTAAGAAAGGCAATCAAAACTGTTCTGTCAGCAGGTGGGGGGAGAGAAAGTATTTCCGGAGGATCTCAAACGAGAGGAGTCTGTTTGCGGTCATTTGTCCACACTTTGGTTTCCCAGGTCATAATTTTCTTAAAGTTTTGGCAGCAAATATGACACCACTTCAGGATACAGCCCAGAGTGGATCACAATTGGCATGCAAGTGTTGGATGACTTTTTAAAAAAATAAAAACCAACACACTAGCTACAATTTTCTCTGGAAAGAATTGGAAAACTGGTAATAGTCTCTACCCAGGTAGCGTTTTATTCCCCCCCCAAAAGTAGAATCCTCTGCAGATGATCTGGAAACAGAGTGCAGAATGAAAGCAAGTCCCATTGCCGGAACCCTTTCAGCCTCTAGGACGGAGCCGTTTTTAAAGACCTTATTCCAAACATCCCTGTTTGGGGTTAAAACCCTTGCACAGGGATGAGACCCGGGGGCTGTGTTTTAAGATGAAACGGTGGAGCAGAAAGGACCCACCTTCAGGCCGGCTCAGCCGTAGCCTCACCGGGCTAGAGCATCGCAAAACTTGGGTTACCTCCAAGACAGCTCAACCGAATTAAACCTGCCGGAACCGGCCACCTGTCCTGCTGGTTCCAAGCCGATAATCTCTGCATATACCTTTTAAAACCCTTGTCCTGCCCTGCCCAGTTTCCTTTTCTGTTTCACTCCATATAAAGTTTGAAGAAGACCTCTGGGGAACGAATACTCTCTTGCTCTTGCTTCAGAGAGGGCCTGGCCTTGGGTGGCTTCTGTTTTGTGTTAACTTCATTGTACAGAACATGTCTCTGTCTCTCTCTGTTTTCCTTCTCTGGAGATTGCAAGGCCCAAACCTGCCGAAGGAGCCTCTCTTCTTGACCTACGCCCCTGGATTGCTGCAAAAGGGTGAGGGCGAGGGTGGGCTCTCAAGTCAATTCCGACTTAGGGCAACCCTTTTCCAGAGTTCTCTAGGTAGAGAAGTGCTTTTCCCCCTTCTGGGGGTGCCCTGGGACCCACGTGCAGCCTGGCCCGAGGCTGGCTCTGCTTGCAGGCGGTGCAATGGGGAAGTGAACTCCCCCGCCTCGGGCCAGAGACCGAAACCATCCAGCTATCCAGCCATTATGAAGGGAAGAAAAACACAGGCTCTAAATCCCTGTGCAAACAGCGGTTCCAGAATGGGAATAAAGACCACCGTGCTCTCTCCAGCGACTGTTTGCTTCCTCTCGCGCACACACACCCCGCACCCCGTTGCCACGTTGTGCATTTCTCTTCCGCAGAGGAATCCATGCAAGACCATCCCAAGGAGGAGTGGTCCACGCCAACCTTACCTGTGCCAGGTGTGCTGCTGCAGGTTCTCCCCAAGCTCTTCGCACAGCCCTGACCCCCTCACTCCTCCCGGCGGCAACAGCTCAGGTTACCTGTCCAAACCAACCTGTCTGGCCAGGGAGGGCTGATGAGGAAATGCGAAGGGCTAGCCGGGAGAGGACGGGGGTGGCGCTTCCCTCCCAGCCAGGTGCGGGCCAGGAGAGGCGTGGTGTCTGCACACCGGGGTTGTCACTGGAACAGGTGGTGACGCCCAGAGCAACTGCTTGCCACCTGTTAGCTTTGCAGGGTGTTGTCCCGCACGGAGAGAGGACGATGCCTTTGTGCCTTTTTTTCAGAGTTCAACACACAACCTCTCTCCCCCCCACTCCCCATTCCAACATTTCTGTTTTCCAAAATAGAAGATTTCTTGAGACCTTTTCCTGCACCTTCACAGGCGTGTCCAGTCTGGAGGCAGGAGAAGTCCTTCTCTATGGCTGCTCCCAGACTCTGGAACTCCCTCCCACTGGAGGCCCGGCCTCTTTACTTGTCCTTCTGCATGCAGGAAAAACCCTTTTACTTCAGGCAAGCTTACCCTGACTGATTGGCTGCCTGTGTGTGGGGTTTTTTTAATGGGTTGCTGTGCCTTTTATTGCTTCGAATGTGTTTTGCCTCTGTGTTTTGTACGGTATTTGCTTGGCCCCTTTTAGCAATTGTAGACTCTCTGTTGTTAGCTTTAATATTGCCTTGTAATGATGAAAGCTGCTTCGGGTCCTTTTTTAAGGAGAAAGGCCAAGTGAAGATTTTTTTTTTAAAAAAAATCAATTTAAATAGATTAAATACAACTGAGATATGAATAATTCTTTTGTGCAGTGCAGGCGTTCTGTCATTTGGCCACCCCAGAATTTTGCAAACTGTGTAGCGAGAACCACAATCACCCTTTTCTCGTCACCTCACTCCCACCTCTGTTTTTGTCTTCAGGACGGGAGGGCTGATGGTTCAATGGAAGGTATTAGTGTGAATTAGCAGGATTCTCCTTCATCAGGCTTTCTAGAACCGCCTTTTCCAAACTGTGGTGGGGAAACTCTCATCGTCCCCTTTTAACTGGCTGTGACACAGAGCCTCAATGACTGTGGTGGATATTGCCCCTGTTGTGAAGCAAGACTGTAAAATAGCCCCCCAAGCATACTTGAAAGTCTATTGGGCAGCAGGAATAGGGGGCAGTGATAAACCCATGCTGAACCATCTTTAATATGAAAACCGTACGATGAGACAGTCCAAAATGAAACGAGAGATAGTGCTGGAGGACAAGACTCCCAGGTTGGAATGTATTCAACCAGCTGCTAGGGAAAAGCAACGTAAATTCTGAATCTGTACAATATATACAGCTGGAACATGGAATGTGACAAGGATGAATCGAGGCAGAACTGGGAACCGTAAAGCAAGAAATAGGACTTATAAACATTGCAGTATTTGGTGTCAGGAAACTAAAGCGGACTAGAATTGGACATTTTCAGACAGACAGCTATAAAATGGTCTGCTCTGGAAATGGCAAAGTCAAAGGAAATAGAGTTACTCTAATGCTGAGACGAGATGTAGCACATGCAAGTAGGGGCTGTAATGTAAGGTCTGACCCAACAGTATCACTCAGACACCATGGAAAACCTATGAACATAATCATCACTCAAGTCAAGAAGATGAAACTGAATGTTTTTATGCATGTATCCAAGAGGAAATCGACCACACACCCAAAACAAAACATACTGGTATTTATAATCATAGGCGACTGGAACCCAAAGGTAGGAAACAAAGCAGAACCAAATGTTGTTGGAAAATTTGGCCGAAAGGATGGAAATGAAGCAGAATGACTCAGAGTTCTAAGAAGCCAACAGTCTATTTATTGAAAATATGTGCTTCAAACAGCTGAACGGATAGCTGTACACATGGACATCACCAGATGGTCAATATAGAAATCAAATGGACTGTGTCATTCGAGGCAGGAAATGGAGAAGCTCTGTTGTTACTGCCAAAACAAGACCAGGAGCAGATTGTGGTCATAAATGGTTAATGTCCAGAGATGGGAACTCGGGACTCACGGGTCTCTATCCAGTTCGACTTAGGTCACACCAGTGACTTGACTCAGGAATTTTGGAAGGCAAGGAGTTGTGATTCAACTCATGACTCAGACCCATTGGTCCAAGTTGGGTTGTCTCTGGGAAGAGAAGCCGGGCCTGCTGCCTTTGAGGATGATGGTGGCGACAGGCAGGCTGCTGGAGGCAGGGGCTGAATCTTTGGGACCCAGGTCTCCTGAGTCCTAAAGAATAATTCAGGAGGCAAAAATGTTAAATCTGAAGCTGTCCTATTTTGGGCACCTCATGAGATGGCAGAATTCTCTGGAAAAAAACCCAATCGTGTTTGGGAAAGGCGGGAGGCAGCAGGAGAAGAGGAAGGCCCAATACGAGATAGACGGACTCCCTAAAAGAAGCCACAGGTTTGAATTTACAAGAATTGAGCAGGACTGTTGAGGACAGGAGATTCTGGAGATGGCTCATACATGGGGTCACCCTAAGTCGGAGGCGACTCAACGACACACAACAAGAACAACTTTCTGCCACCAGAAGCATATGCCCATGCAATGCAAAAAAGTGAAGGGGCCGGCCTAGAGTCGCATAAAGGTTTTCATCCCCATCCACCGCCTTCTGTGTTTCCCTTTCCCTTCGGAAGCCACAATAGCGCCCTTTATCCAGCAGATGGCAGCAGGAGACTCCTTATTATGTGAAAGAGAAACCCCCCCCATGGGACCTTAAGCCCTGGCCTTACTGTTCTTAAAAATTGAAGGGAGAATCTCATATAAATCATTCATTCCCTAAATCCTTTTTTACACTTGAGCCCAGAGAAACACGGCATTGCTGCGTCACCTCGGTGGCTCTTGCTTTTATTTGCTTCCCCTCTTTCTGGCTCCTTCTGGCCCTGTCCTGAACGATCGGTTTCTTTCTTCCCAACCAGGAGCCGGAAAACCGAAAAGGGACTCGGGAAGAAACCTGATGGCTATTGATCCACCCTGGTTTGGGTCCCTGGCAAGATGGGCTAACCGAGGGTGCAACCACACTGGCCCTTGGGGTCTGGTCTAAATAGGATCCCTTGAAGTTGAAAGGAACACCAACAGGTCACTTGATATGATCCTGAGAGCTTCAGCCATCAGTCTGCCCTTTGGAAAGGATCAGGAAACTTCATTTCCTCTCCAAAACCGTCTGCCGGGGTGGGGTGGCATCTGGTCGAATACATGAACTTCCACTTTAAATCCTAAATAAATGCATTTATTTGTTTAATGGATTTAAAAATATTTTTACCCTGCCTTCCTCCTTCTTGATCTTCATAGGCATCCTTCAGTCTCGAGAGACGATGGTATCATGTTCTGCATGGAGGACTTGGAACCGCGTCTACTGTGGCTGAGAAGGCCAATTTGAGCGTGACCATCCCTTCCACACTTAGGACAAATACAATCTGTACCCCGTCTAGCTCCCTGATTTTGCTGCTTTCAAAGGTGGCTCACGTCATGGAAAGACCACATCTGCAGCTCAAAACCAGCCAGTATGCAAACACTCTAAAAGGATCAAATACCACCATGGAAGATAATAATAAATCTATAGATGTAGTTGGTAAACTTGTAAACTCAACCAAGATTTGTTTTATTTAGTTATTTAAGATATTGATAACCCTCCTGGTGTCACAGGACTTCAGAATAGGTTGCAAAACTGTATAACATAATTTTGAAACTGAAGATATTTAAAATTAGACAATTTAAAATGCAAAAGTAAAGCCTTAAAAGACTAAAGCCTGCACAGGCCACGATCCTCAGCTCCCAAAGGGTCTAATGAATAAGTACGTCTTGATGTGTGGCCGAAATTATTCCTATAAGATCGGCACCCTTCAAGCCTCCAAAGGGAGGGTCTTCTGTTATGGCAGAAAAAGCCCTCCTTCATTTCTCCACATCAAGAGTTACATAGCTATTTATTTTATGGATTTATTTTTTAAAAAATGATCCCACCTTTCGCCTAAAAAGGATGCAAGGCTGCTTACAGTATTAAAAAAAGACCAATATAAAAACTAAACACCAGAAATGCTTAGTGTTAAAAAACATATTTAACAAATATCATTAAAATTCATAGGTAGAGGTATGATTAAAAAGACATTAAAAATAATAGAAACACAACAATGTCCTCTTAGACAGTCATTAAGGGAAAGCCTCTGAAGAGAGAGGTCTTCTTTAGACAACATCAGTAAAGATGGGGCTAGGCTGGCCTCCAGTGGGAGGGAGTTCCAGAGTCTAAAGAAGGCCCCCTCCTGCGTCCTCACCAAATGCACCTGTGAGGAAAGAAGGCCCCCTCTTGCGTCCTCACCAAATGCACCTGTGAGGATGATGGGACTGAGAGAAAGCCCTCCCCTGATGATCTTAACACCCGGGCCGGCTTATCATGGGAGTCTCGGTTCCTTGAGAGGGCAGCTTATCATGGGAGTCTCGGTTCCTTGAGATAGCTTGGACCCAAGTCGTTTAGGGCTTTATAGGTTAAAACCAGCACTTTGAATTGGGCCCAGAAATGGAAATGCTGTAACCGTTATGTGATCCCTGTAACCATCCTCAGTTTAAAGTGTGCAGCTTATAAGGCTTTGAGCACTCTTTCGGCAGTTTACAACATAATTAGGCAGGCGACATATTCCCCCCCCCAAAAAAAAAGCAGGCTTCTTTACCAGCCTGGGAAGGATGAAAGGCGGTGTCAGCCTTAAGTTGGCTCCCTGAATCCATTGAGATTGAACCTGTGGTCTTAAGCACAGCCCTGGCTCCAATGCTGTTGTTGTTGTTTAGTTGTTTACAGTAGTCACGTTTGACTCTTCATGACCCCATGGACCAGAGCACCCCAGGCCCTCCTGTCTTCCACTGCCTCCCCGAGTTGGGTCAAATTCATGTTGGTCGCTTCGATGACGCTGTCCATCCATCTCATCCTTGGTCATCCCCTTCTCCTCCTGCCTTCACACTTTCCCAACATCAGGGGCTTTTCCAGGGAGTCTTTTCTTCTCATGAGATGGCCAAAGGATTGGAGCCTCAGCTTCAGGATCTGTCCTTCCAGGGAGCACTCAGGGTTGATTTCCTTCAGAATGGATAGGTTTCTTCTCCTTGCAGTCCAGGGGACTCCCAAGAGCCTCCTCCAGCACCACAATTCAAAAGCATCAATTCTTTGGCGGTCAGCTGGAGGAGAGAAATTTTTGTTTGTTTGTTTGTTTGTTTGTTTAGTCGTGTCCGACTCTCCGTGACACCATGAACCAGAGCACACACCAGGCCCTCCTTGTCTTCCACTGCCTCCCGGAGTTGGGTCAAATTCATGTTGGTTGCTTCGATGACACTGTCCAACCATCTCGTCCTCTGACGTCCCCTTCTCTTGCCTTGCAAAACAAAGTTGGAGTATCTCTTGCTAGTTGCAGCTAGAAGACTGTTTGCTTTATTAGGGTGAGGTGGAAAATCCCT